AGCCACCGCTCAGGCATTGATTATGGGATTTGGCCTTGAGATCACAGGGACAAAACACAAGAACTATACTGCAACCAAGTAGCTTCTGCGTTACAATGACAGATACCTTGCAATGCTGCAATAATGTTTTATATGGAGTTTTTTTGCGGGATATTGTACCTGTTCAATCACCGTAAGTTAGAGTGCCTTTATCCAGCTCTCCACAAAGAAATCAAATGTCAGCAAAGAGGAGACTTCTGGAGTGTTTCAAACACAATCCAAAGCCATTACTAGGGTCCAAGTGCACTACTCCATCTGCCTCTGGTAGTGACACCGGCTCCTGCGAAGAGTTTGAAGAGAATGAAGAGAAACAGAGAGTTTCGCGATGCAAGGCTATGACACGAATGGCCCCGAACTTCACCAAGAACCTCCTTACGTGATTACATGTTTAATTTACTTCTCATCTCAAAATTGTCCACTATGACAGAGCCAATTTGTCGCGATCCCGCGCAAGTGTCAGTCGAACAGGGAGGGGGAGTGCACTCCCACGTTCCTAATGGAATCTCAATGAAGCCAGAGCCGAGGGTCCACAGGAGCAGACAGCACTCGCCATTACGAGAAGGGACCCTCCTTCACCCGGACACCTCTCACTCACGGCTGTTATTATCGCTTCAAGCCACAGGCTAAAGAGCCAGGCGGCTAGGAGGAAAAAAGCACAGAAGAAAAGAGGTTACTATTACTTATTGCTGTGTACCTTGACATTTTCTAGATCTGGTTTGGAGGGAAATAGGTAGTCTTCCAAATTGACAGCAGTGGACACTGTGTTTAAACTGATAGCTGATAGCAGCCTTGTAGTCATCTCCTATTTTATTTTCAAAGCCTGAATCATAAATAGACAGACAAACCATAGATATCTGGACTCAAGGCGTCTCCCGGACTGTCACTTTTTCATCTTCGGAAAAACAAGCCTACTTTCTTTCCAAATACATTTGTCGATATAATTCAACTCAAGTAAATTATGGACATTTTACAGATGCCCAATATTGTGCAAATTTGTTCAATTGTGATGGATATTGTACTTTATAGGTGTTGTTTAATCTCATGTCTAAAAATCAAATGTCTGATACTACATTTGTGAGACCAAACCAAAGAATCACATGTAGACGAATTTAACATTGATTTAAAACTATTGCAGTAATTATTACTGAACTTAAGTAGTCTGTAAGCAACCTTCTTTGTACATAAATATGAAAAAAAATAAAAATAAATTAATTAATTAATTAAAATAGAAACTTAAAAAAGAAAATGGTAAAGGGTAAATGTAAAAAAATTTAAATTCATCCAAAATAAACAAACAAACAAACATAAATAAATAAATGACAACTGCATAAATCTAAATAAATAAAAAGGACGGTTCATGAGTTCAGCTATATTTACAATAAAATGCACAGCTCATGTAAAAACAACCATAAATCACAAAAGGATTAAACTGCACACAGCAAACAATAAATTAGAATTATGCAACACTAGCAAGATAATTATTTTCCCTTTCATCATCATTCTAGTCAGTCGTGGCCTAATGGTTAGAGAGTCGGACTTGTAACTCAAAGGTTGCAGGTTCGAGTCTCAGATCCGGCAGGAATTGTCGGTGGGGGGAGTGAATTACCAGCACTCTCTTCCACCTTCAATACCACGACTGAGGAGAGACCCTTGAGCAAGGCACCGAACCCCCAACTGCTCCCTGGATGCCGCAGCAATATGACTGCCCACTGCTGTGTGTGTTCACTACTGTGTGTGTGCACTTGGACGGGTTAAATGCAGAGCACAAATTCCGAGAATGGGTCACCATACTTGGCTACACTTCACTTTAGAAATTTTATACATGATATCGTAATTCAAATAGAGTCATGATAGCACAATACCAGTATTTGTACGAAGTATGAAGCATTAGGACTTCACAGGAATAAGAACACAGCTAACTGTACTACTCTGGCCCTTGAGGGGCCTCTGGGAGCGCTTTTTTTGAGAGCAGCATGTTTAATGGGCCAGCGCTGGTAGCAGCGCCGTGCAAGCTAAATATGTTTACTGTTTGCTCAGCCAGACCCTAGTCAGGAAAGACAAGATGAATTTGATTGCTAATGCAAAAATAACAGACAATCATAAATCATGGAAGTGAGAGTGGGAGTCGATGACGAGAGTTAATCAATACGAGCCCTGACTTTGCCATTGTGCAGAGTGGCACTCCATTTATAACAGAGGAGTTTGAGGAGAAACATTATTCACATTAGGGTATGCATGGAGGAGGGCGAGGGTGCGAGGAGAGGGTGCTTAGTCACCGCAGCTGCGGAACGCCGGAAGCGTGCCTGAACACCAGCCATCATCCACCCAATGATAATGTTTTCGGTCCCTTCTACGCGTTAAGTTATGAGGCGACTCAATTGGACTGCGTTCTTGGAAAAAAGAAAGGGGTTGAGGAAAAAAAAACAATGTGCATTTTGTGTGGCAAATCAACAGAAAAATTCGCTAAATTCCATTTTACTCTGCTTTCCACGGTTGTGGAGTCTCCTTGATTTTCTGTTTGAAAGTCGGGCAGCCTACTTGATTTGAGTGGGTCTAGGATGGAGCTCTCGGGGGAAATTGGGCCTGGGGAGCACAGGCTGATTTACTCTTGGCTTGACCTGTCTACTGGATGAGCTGAAGGCATAGAGGCGACACAAGGATCTCATCCCTATATTTCCCTCTGCACGCTAAAGGACAGGCCTAATACAGCACAGACCGGTCAATGCTTCCTCTCCTTCATCTCCAGGCCTCCCGCACCTCGGTTACGACTTTCTCATGCTGCAGTAATTTTTTTCCTCACCCAGCTCCCCGTCCAGTGGTTCCGTGTGTAATGTATGGCTTTATTTGAGCGGTGACTGGGTTTCATTGGATTTGTATTGCTCTGAACAGGAAAGGACATTTGAGATTCATCGAGAGCCAATTTAATTCAGGATTCATGGAGTCTGCATCAGTCAACATGCCAGTTAAACTGCACTCAATGCAGTCTCCATTTGTGGGGCTATGGTGTCGCTGCATCCAGAGACAAAGTACAGCATTCCATGATTAGAAAAAACTATAATGGTTTCATTTACTTCGATTTAAGGTAGAAATAAGAAATATCTTCCTTTTCCACCAACACGATAGTCGGTCGGTCGGACGGACGAGCAGACAGACAGACAGACAGACAGACAGACAGACAGACAGAGCTCTACTCTAATCAACAAGGACAAATAATAATGTACTGTACATAAATCCTAACAAGTCAGGTGCGCAAAAAAAACAGCTGACCAACATTCCAATTTCGTTTGTTTGTTTTGCTTCCTACCACAAAGTCTCATCCTCTACACCCATAACAGTTCACATCAACAACGTGCTAACCGAGATAACACAGCAGCTCTCACACACACATACACACAAGCACTCTTTTCTTAGCCTATGCTTCAGTCCACTCGTCCTGACCTCTGGAAACGGTTAGAAATTTCACACAATATCCCAGCACAGCAGTGTCTGTGGTAACGCTGGGAGCCAATATGTTTCCATAATTGGGCCTGTAGTGGGGGCAGAGTCCAAGGCAATTAATCCTTTCCTCCTCTGTTGTTTTGCGACCGGATGGCGGTGACTAGGTACAGAGTAATTGGACAGGAGCGCCCTTGTCCCCTCCGCTTCACATTAATATCCCTCCACCCAAGCTTTAATCCCGGCCAGGCCTCAGCTCGCACCGCCTGAATTGCTCCCATGTCAAGTGCATGCAACATCCACATGGAACCAGCCTACAGAGAAATGAAGGCAATGCAGACCCAGGTCGGAAAAAGAAAAATGCCAAGGAAAAGAAGGTATTGAGGGATGCAGAAGGACCCACTGATTAAGATGTGCCGAACATACAGTATCCGTGAATTTATCCACATGTGTCACACGTGTCTGCACAATGGTTATTTTGAACATTTTCTTTTGATTCGGAACATGCTTTCTGCTCTACAGCAGCGGCAGTTCAGTGCTTAAAGGTCAAACCTAGGAAGAAGAGTGAAAGCAAGGAGTCAAGGTTTAGCTGGTTAGCACCTGTTGGTAGATGCCATAGCTGCATGATTCTGTGGGCCAAAAACATCTTTCTCCCCTTGACAGCTATTCAAAAGTAACCGAGTATTCCGACTAAATATAGTATATTTCCATAAGAAATATTATTTTTCGTATTTTTATACGTTTTACCAATGGCAGATTTCAAATCGATTACTTAATTATGGGAGGCCTGGACTGGAGCTAAGCAACTAAGATAAATGGGAATGCTAATGGATAGCCTTCCCTAGATATTATAGAAGTCTGGGACCTACATCTCTGAAATGTGCTGCTCAAATAGGAGATGCAGGTCCAAATCTGACCTCATGTGCCTGTATTGTTTCCTGTATAGTTCCTTATTCAAGTTCAAAAGGTCGGAAAGTTTTTGAAAAGAAGTCTCTTTTGCTCACCAAGGCTTATTTGATTGAAAATACAATATTATATATATATATATATATATATATATATACACACATTTTAAAATGTAATTTATTCCTGTGATGGCAAAGCTAATTTTTCAGGAGCCATTACTCCAGTCTTCATTCTAATATGCTGGTTTGGATCTCAAGAAACATTTCTTATTATTATCAATGCTAAAAACAGTTTTTCTTATTATTATCAATGCTTAAGTATATATTTCTTTACGGTAGTAAACAGCTAATTATATATTCTACTACACATTAGTAAAATATGTAGTAAAAACATTTATTAATGCAAAAATACATAAAAATATTCAAAATATAAAAATATATAACGAAAAGTTAAGGTCCAATTCTCACTATTAATTAACTATTAACTACGACTTTTGCCTCAGTAAACACCTAATTACTGCTTATAAATAGTTAGTAAGGTAGTTGTTACAGTAAATTAAGCTATTGGGTAGGGTTAGGAATGTAAAATATGGTCATGTAGTATATGTGCTTTATAAATACTAATAAACAGCCAATATGCTAGAAATATGCATGCTAATAAGCAACTAGTTAATAATGAGAATGGGTCGCTATACTAAAGTGTTAGTCAAAAGTTATATTTGAGATGTACAAATACTTGTAAATTCTTCACAATAATGCAGTGCACTACAGGGGTCACTTTGAGGTCAAGGGTTACAAATCAATGAGCTATTTTCTGAGTAAAATCACTACAGGCTATTCTAGCATCACTCAAAGCACACAAAAACACACTTACAGTCATCCTGACCCAAGGTCTGCGAACAAAGCCTATTCAACTCCATATTATTTCTTTATTTTTATCTGTCTCTCTGTGTTCTCTCTTTGTGGGCCCTCTCTCTCTCTAATCTCCTCCAGCAACTTTTATAAGCCTAGGTGCACCTCAAAAACAAATCAATAGAGGTGTAATAGCACAGAGCACGCTTTGTAATTTTTATATCATTAGTTTTGTTTTGTTTTTTCCACACTTGCTTCTCATGCATCAAAAAGGTGGGACGGGGGGCGCTGGAACGTACAACGTCGCGTCCTTGTAAAGTTTATTTAGTATTCTATGAATATCATATCAGTTATGTTTCCTAATGACTTGGCAGAGGTGACGGTGGACATGGGGGAGGGGTGCAGGTGCTGATAGGGAAGGCAGAGGGAGAAAAGGAAAAATCAATAAGAGCAGCAGACTTTTCCTGCAGCATGCTGGAGAGGGGATCTATTGTGGAGGAATTATGATTTATGTCAGGGGTGGAAGGGCCGTCAGGGTGCGGCACGGACGGAGGTGTGCGCCAATAATGATTAATGCCCCCCATCCCCGTCGCCTCCGTCCCCCCATTCCCTCTCCCACCTCTGTTCTTCTTGCTTTTGCCTACTTCTCAAAACCGGGCGTGCTTCACCAGCAGCCATGCTTTTGATTTCACCCTATTCTGCATCTCTTTCTTTGTCTCCTTGTGCATCTCTCTTTCTTTCTTCCTCCTATAACAGAAGGTGCATTTGGCTTGCAGGCTGCAGTTGGCCATGATAGATTTGCAGCTCCCCAGCTGTGCAGCTGCAGGACAGGGCGGTCACTTTTTAAGTTGGACGTCCGCACTCTGTCTTTGCCAGTCCTGTCAGCGCTCTCAGACCGGAGACGGAGTGTGAGAGGGATGAACCGAGAGAGAGATGGACAGAGCAAGAGAGCGACTGATGAAAGCAAATGAAAAGATGGAAGAGGGCCTGGTGACAGGAGACAGAAAGAGAAATTAAGCTGCTCGGAGTAGAAAAGGCAGCCCACAGTGTCATAAGTAAAACCATGGTTTTCAGCAGTCAAGAATTACTTGTGTGCAGAGAGTAGATATGTTTTAGAAAGCTATGTAACTTAAAAATACATGTTGAACTATATATTAATACTGTATACTAGGGTTGTCACAATACCAAATTTTAGTCATTGATTCCAATACCAGTGAAATTTCATGAAATGGCACCAATTTGATACCACCACAAAAAACTATGATGCTATTTAACATAAAAAATAATCATATTTATATATTAATACTAAAATTAAAATAATAAAAAATGCATGTTGCCTTCAAGTGTATTTCAATTAAAGGGACTGTTCACCCAAAAATAAACATTTTGTCATCATTTTGTCCCCATGTCCTTTCAAACCTGGATTAAGCGGATGATGAAACACCAAAGATTATATTTTGAAGAATGTTGGTAACTAAACAGTTTTGGTGACCAGTGATTTGATTTCCATTGTATGGACAAACACAGAGACATTTATTAATTAATACTGTCTTTTGTGTTCCACAATGGAGTGTAAATAATAACAACATTTTCATTTTCTGAGTGAATGGTCCCTTTAAGTAAACATTGATGGTACTTATGTAGGTATCAGTAATAAGAAAATGACTAATTAAGAGCAATTGAGAGCAAATTAACAGCAATGCTGTAAAAATCAAATCAAATCAAATCAAATCAAATCAAATTAAATAATGTTATCAACACGAAGGTCAGTGGTTCAATTCTCAGGGAATGCATGAATTGATAAAATGTTCACCTTAAATGCAATGTAAGTTGCTTTGGCTAAATCATCTGCCAAATAAACAATATAATAAATAATTAAAAAAATAATAGAATGGCACAGAATAGAATATGATATATAATGCATTACCACAAGTTTTCCAACTTTTGAAATCTCTAGTTTATATACCATGATGTTAACTATTGATACAGACTGTGGTGTAAATTTTGACATTGAAGCCAAACAACTAAGACAAAAAAAGTAACTCTGATTAAGTGCTGTATGATTTTCTCCATCATATCTGAGATTCATCAATCTCATTAGATCCTGTTTGAATAACTGAATAGTCCCCTATTTTGAGTGCACAAAAACAGTGACGCTTGCGGAACAGAGAGACGTAAAAGCATTGATAGTTTTCCTGATAGACCTTCGGTCCACTTAAAGAAATATACCAGGGAAATTGAATTTCAACAAGAGGCACTGCTCACACTGAGGTATATTCATACCCCAAATGTGCGCTGCTTTGTGAGGGGCACTGAAGAGGAACCGTCGTGTTGAAAGCATTCTTTGGAACGCCTTTCATTATCACCTGGAAAGCAGGGGCACCCTGTGAACTATTCTAATATGTGGGGAGCTGAATGAGGCTGCTGAGGAGGGAGTAAGAGGCAGCCCATTGTGCCCTCGCTCCCGGAGCCAACGCCTCAGCACACTTTCGACGAGGGCAACGGTGCCACTGCAGTGATTTGCCTCAGCCCCTAGAGGGCAAGCCTAGGTCACTGGAGAAAGGAGACCCGAAAAAGAAAGGAGAAAGAAAAACTTTTTTACCAAAGTACAGACAAATGACAGGAAAACCAAGCAAGCAAATGATCAAGCGGCAATTTGCTTTAAACAGCGCCATGTGGAATGTGACGCCACACGGTCTGATTTCACATTCACAGATAGTACCCTGAACGTACACTGAGGGAAAAAGGAAGCAAAACAATGGAGGTGAGAGAGCTAAAAGAACAGAGGTGGAAGGCAAGGAGGGCACTGGGTACAAAAGCGAGGCTGAGGGGGGAATACGGGAGGGAGTGAAACTGAAAAGCTCATTTCCACCCTCCACTGCCTTCCTCTGCCTAGTGTAAAAGATTACCCTACAGCAGCAGAGTATAGAGAAGAGCTACACACTGAGGAGGGGGGCACAGATGTGGAGGAAAACACACTTGCACACACGTGTGCACATACACATTCTGACAAGTCATTGGTTTCTATATGCTCACACTCACGCATCTGCCTGCAAACACTTTTGTCAAGACATCCAAGCAACATGGGACCTACTGCAGTCAACGTGTCAGAATGCAAGGAGAAGAAATTTGTTTTCAACCGGTGGGTCTGTTCTGGTAGGGATAGAAGGAAAAAAACACTAAACACAAACAATCAACCATAAAAACAATAAAGTAGATAATCATGTGTAATTAGAGTAGAAGGGATACACTAATATTTTCAGAAAATTAAATATATTTTACTACAATTTATATAGAGTTTATCTAGAGAAAGAGAGAGATTTCACAATTTCAATTACCAATACAAAAATTGGTAATTGAAATAAAGCTTAAATAAAATATTAATATTAGATGGAAAACGTAAACCTGGAGAAAAAAAAAACTTGAATAAAAATTAGAAATGTTGACTAAAAAAAGTTTAGGTTGAAGTACAAAATAAAAATATATTAAAACTAAATATATATCACATACTGTTTCAAAATTACTAAAAAAAACGAAAATTAAAACGAAAACTGAAAACATGAAAATAAAAGGTAAAATTCAAAAATATTGATAAATACTACAATACTAAACAATACAAAACTCTAAATGAAAAACTAACCAACCAACTAATGTAAATTTATTGGTTATCAGCCATAACAAAATATATATATTTAAAATAAATTTACATTTAATTAATAAAAACTGCCTTTTTATATACAGTCCAAAACCAATGCATTACTACAGGATTGCAAAATAAATCAGCTTACATATTTTTTTATTGTTCACATAAAAAGGTGTGCATCCAATCAGACTTTTTGCCATAAATTCATCTTCCACTTTGTATAACCTAGAAGCCAACATGGGCAGATTGTGTGACATCCTAAAAAAAAGTTCAGAAAAAAACTAAATACAGTCTAGACTACATTAAATGCAGGTTACAGGTTTGGAACTGTGTGGATGTCCAATATAAAATCTAAGTACTGAAGCAAAATAAGTCAATAAGCACTGGCCTAAAACTTGGGAGTCTGGAACACAAACATGGCAAAATTCTGATCAGTTTTTCCCCTCCAAGTCACAAAGTTTATACACCCTATGCATAAATCAATTCTTTTTTTAGCAGAGAGCACAGAAGCAAACAGTACTGGCAGGGCTTTTTCTCCAGCCACAGCAAAGAACAACGCAGAGGTTGAATTGGTCGCCTGCCTCCTCAGTCTCTGGCCTTCAAATACTATGCAACAATGTAAATAACAGCCGAGGAGTGAAATTACATATAGACAAAATGCTAGTGCCAGCCTTGAATGCTTGGCCTCTAAAATGCCACGTCGTGGCCGGCCGAATCCCAACCAATCGATATTGAATCAGCAAGCCACAAGAAGCAAAAGAAGAGGCAAGACAGAGATAAAAGCAGGATGTTGTTACTCGGCTGACATGTTGTGCTCGCAGTCTTTTTTGCTGGCCTGTGACAGAGCCCTCTCTTCAACCTTTCACCATGAAAAGCCTCTGCACAGACCCCATGACTTGTGCTGTGAATGCAGAAACACCCTGTTCTGACCTCCAGACACTGAACATGGTCTTGACTTCATGGTCCTTTGTGGAGTTGCTGCATTCTTACGTCCAGCTTGTACTGTGTGGCGATTCAACTCAACACACAGGACCTCTCTAAAGGTCCAAGGTCAATTTACATGTATGGAACATATGGACTTGGTTGTCCTTTCCACTGTCAAACTTCCCTAATGGCTGAAACATTTTGTGTTGTAGCACAAACCACACACTGCAATAACTGTGAAAGGAAATGGAGTAGGTGTTCGGAATCAGAACAACCTTTGACCTACAGGGACAAATAAATAACAAATGCTCCCTTAAAAGGATGGTTAACCCATTTTTTGTCCTTATAAAGAAAACTGATGCTGCAGACCACCAGTGTGAAATTCGCCATGTTTTGCAAGATCTTAATGTTTTGCTCTAGAGCAGAGATCAAATACATAAAAAGATAAAATAGCAAAGAAATAAATCTAAATAAAATAAATAAAATATTTTCTCCTCAATATCTATTATTTTATGTAAGAACGTACAGAATTAAAATCTTGAATTTTCTGGAATTCCAAAATGAATCATGGTTAATTAATTTAATTAAAAAGTAACAGTCAACAGTCCCAGTTTTTTCTATTAAAAAATACTGAAAATAAGCAGTTTTCATATTTACAGAAGAAATACAGGAAAAATACCAAATATCTAAGCCAATATATGGGGGTCTTTGAATATTGTGTTGGACAATGGGAAGCCTTTGAGTTAAAAAAGGTTCAACTGATCTACAAGCTTAAACTTAAATGTGAAAAAATAGTGTAGACATATAATCTTTTCCTACTGCATGCATTTCTTTACAAAATCACCTAAACATTTAATGTCGTTTGATTTATTTTGAAAAAGAAAAAAAAAACAATCAAGGTGAATGGTGCTTACTTTGAGAATATAAAAAATATACATATTTTTTAATTTACAATAATTAAATTATTATAATGACTTTGACAATATAAACATTTATTACATTTATTTTTGTTTAACAATTTTGGTCACTGCTTAATTCCCATATTTACATTTTTGTTATAATAAAAGCCTTGATCACAATTATTTTAAAATGCAGAAAGTGCCACCATCTCCTCTATGCAAGCAGACATTCACCCAGCATGGCCAGATATGGTCTCCTCATTCTGTGTTTGAGTTACCATCAAATATGAAAGTAAGCAGCTCAAAAATTACCCATTTTGTCAAGCCATTATAGTGATGTTTTATCTACCTCTGTGAGCTGTTAGAAGGGCAGGAGGATGGAGGTGTGCAGACAGACAGTGGCAGGAAAAAAGTTCTCCCGTGCTTCACGTGAAGGTGTAGAGTCAGTGAAAATAGAGCGGGTCCCAGCGGTGCCGCTATTAGAGCCTGCGAATTATAAGACTATTAACCAGTATTGTAACTTCCAATTAAAAGATGATTCAACACTGAAATCTGATGGATGAATGTTGATTAAATGCAGACCCCATTTGGAGCTGAGGGAGATGGACTTCGGTGGGCTCGGGGTCTGGTTAAGTGGCAACGGTCTAATAAATATTTCTGTCTTTTAGGCAAATTAAGGTTAATTATTTTAAATAACGTGGCTGGAAGCGGACTGAAAAGAGTATGCTTTATTCTCAGGACAGTTGTAATGGATAGTGCAGGTATTCACCGGATTTCATGGACGGGCACCCACTAGATACGCATGAAATCACTCTTACTTATGCCAAGGACACATACATACACACACACTGTAAATGAATATAAGCTATGAGCTCCACTGCAAACAATCCAGCAGCACGTTTTATTAGCCGAGGTGTTTGATCATTGACCTCCTGTTCAGTAATCCCAGAACACATAGGGGTGAGTGACAGCACAATTGGCAAGAACAAGATAAAGGAGGAGGCCACAATAACCTCACTCTTCTGGAGATCTGAGTGCTGTATATCTAATGCAGCATTGTGATGTGTCAGTGCTCATTTTAAAGGGAGAGTGCACCCAAAAATTAAAATTCTGTCATCTTTCTGTCACCCTTATGTTGCCCCAAACATGACTGGTTTATATCTGTGGAACAACACAACAAAAAATCATGAAGAACTGTATTGGTCACCATAATCCATGGAGCTGTGTTGCACTTTCACAGTACAAAAAGGATGCATAAGTACCATAAAATTATAATAAAATTGTCCAAATTTTGAGGTGTTATGTTGGACACATTAGCTAAATTTTGCAGGCATAAAAAGTCCATTGTCAATTGTCAATAATATAGTGATGTATTAAACAGCTCATACAGAATTCATTTTCAAACCAAGCAGCACTCTATTGGTCAATGCAGTGAATTAATGTGACCAACTTGAACCGGTTGTGAAATCTGCATGAGGAAATTTTTCACCTTCACACAAAATTTGTGATCGTATACATTCCTATTGAAATAAAAGAATACTGTCTGTGAAAATGCATCAAACAGCAGTAAATGTGACTGTAACTGTATTCTCGGATAATCTTCCTCTCCAGTCAGCAGTTAATTGCTACAACTGAATCAGTGAGTCAAGAATCAGATTGTGAATCAATTAGATCAGTTTTGTGAACTTTAGGAATTAAACTGCATCATTACAAAACATCAAATCAAGTGACATGAAAATAAATAATGTCAGACCTTTTCTCACAACTAGAGCTCACAAAACTTCACTTCACTTAGAAGTCATTATTTTGCAATGACTTTTACCCAATTGGTCCCACAATAATTTTAGTGAATTAAGTCACTTCCTTGTGTGAGAAACAGGACCAATTTTAAGATTTTATTTTCTGATAATCTTGCTCTCCAGTGAGCTGCTGTAATTGAATCATTGAGTCGAGAATCAGATCATGAACGAATCAATTAGATCCCTTTTGTGAACTGCAAGAATAAAACTGCAGTGTTACAAAACATCAAATCCGAAAATAAATCAGATAAATCCTAGGCCTTTTCTCACAACTCCCAGAACTATAATGACTTTTACCCAATTCGTCCCACAGCAATTTTTAGTAGATGTATAAAGTCACTTCCCCTCAAATTTACACAAGCATCCACAAGTATAGGCCCAAATTTCCCAAAACTATGTTTTGTATGAGGAACAGGCTGAATTTTGAGAAGTTATTTTCTGATAATCATTCTCCCCAATAAGATGTTAATTGATGCAAATGAAACATGTCATGAATCACATTGTGAACGAATCATTTAGATGAGTTTTGAGAACTAGTCAACAGATTAACTGAAAAACAGACGCCCTCTGGAAAGACTTCAAAGTTACATTAAATTATTCAAAACTTACATGGAAGAAAAATTGTCATAAAGGTATGAAACAACAAGAGGGTTAAAAA